TGTATGTCAACTAGGACAACTAAAGTAGGACAACTAAATTCTTTAGAGAGATGAACAAACTTTAAAGTGGATTTTCTCGAAAAGAAAAAAATATATAAAATAATAAATAAAAGAATATATAAAAGAATAAAAGAGAATATTATACCAAAATAATTTGTTACTCGAATCTCGATCCACCCTGTATAAACGTAACATAAAATGTCTTAACATTATTCTTACAATAACTATACATAAAAACCATTTCGTTAGTTATCGTAAAATGGCATACTCTTCGGTATGTCGAAAGCGATGCCACTAAAATATTCAGCGACACTGTGTAACGAGCGTGGAGAAAATTGTAAAAACAGCTTCCAGCACGCTCCGTGCACCTATACAGAGCGGATTTAAGCCGAACTTTATCCCCGTTGCGTGGGCTTAACGTGGCGCGCCGGCGAAATTCACGTTTCACGATAGAAATTGGCGATTTTCATTCGCCGATGCACGACTATCGAGCGTGCAACGCCGTTATTGTATCGCCTGTCGCGTTCTCCCCATCGTGAAATGACGCTGGAAACGCCGTTTCTGCGGCGAACGCGCGCGCGCGCGCGCGCCCAGAGAAGATCATTGTGTCGCAGATTTCACACGTCGAACTGAAGCTGCCATTTCTGTAACGCTGCGAATGTAAAACGGCTATTGAAGGACACCGTGGAGCGTAAACATAATCGAAACGTGCCGAAGTAATCTGGAATTAGACTTCGAAACTTTATGCAAAGTAATCATTTGCTACCTTGATTGTAGCTTGTAGCACCGAAGGGTGAAATACAGTGATACAGGACCTATTTCAGCACCTTTTTCTTGCCGTCTAAGCTGGCGCGCACATCCCCACGATTTTATTGCGCGTCCAATATGCAGTGGATCCGGTCTCAGCAGTGCATCGTCAGCCAGTCGAAGCAAAGAAAATTTCTGTATCGACACTATCCTTTAATATTAGATGAGACTCGTTATTCTTTTCAAATTGTAAAGCCTCTTCTAATTGTTTAGCAGAAAATGTAGCATAATTTGCGGATGCACGATCTGCGAGCAATGCTTTTTGAGGAAATTTAACTAATGATTTAGCTAAGTTAACTGCAGTGCCTATGACTGAAAGTAAGCAGACATCTCCAGATTAGAAGAATTTATATTATGATAAGTATTTATTGTGAATTATTAACTATTCAGTTATACCTGCACCAGGAGCTGTGTATCGATTAGCTAAACCCCAATTAAATGCTTCTTTTGCAAAAATAGCACGACCAGTTAAAATGACTTCCATTGCTCTTGAATAGCCGATCAAAGCTGGCAAACGAACGGTACCACCACACAATATAGGAATGCCATAACGCCTATTTAGAAATCCCATTACTGCACTTTTCTCCATTACCCTTAAATCACACATTAAAGCAAGTTCAAATCCTACTCCGACTGCATAACCATTTATGGCTGGAATTAATGGCTTTTTACATAGTTCAATTTTATCA